GAACCAGTGGCATCTACATCTACAAAACATGAAGAACAAGTGGCATCTACATCTGCAGAAGGTGTAGAACCAGTGGCATCGGCTTCTGCAGAATGTGAAGAACCAGTGGCATCTACTTCTCCAGAACATGAAGAACCAGTGGCATTTACATCTACAGAACGTGAAGAACCAGTGTCATCTGCAGACCATGAAGAACCAGTGGCATCTGCAGAACATGAAGAACCAGTGGCATCTGCAGAATATGAAGAACCAGTGGCATCTGCAGAATGTGAAGAACCAGTGGCATCTACATCTGCAGAACATGAGAACCAGTGGCATCTACATCTGCAGAACATGAAGAACCAGTGGCATCTACATCTGCAGAATGTGAAGAACCAGTGGCATATACATCTGCAGAACATACAGAACCAGTGGCATCTACATCTGCAGAACGTGAAGCAGCAGTGGCATCTACATCTGTAGAACATGAAGAACCAGTGGCATCTACATCTGCAGAACGTGAAGAACCAGTGTCATCTACATCTGCAGAACATGAATAAGCAGTGGCATCTACATCTGCAGAACGTGAAGAACCAGTGGCATCTACATCTGTAGAACGTGAAGAACCAGTGTCATCTACATCTGCAGAACATGAAGAAGCAGTGGAATCTACATCTGCAGAACATGAAGAACCAGTGGCATCTACATCTGTAGAACGTGAAGAACCAGTGTCATCTACATCTGCAGAACATGAAGAAGCAGTGGCATCTACATCTGCAGAACATGAAGAAACAGTGGCAACTTCAACTACAGAACGTGAAGAAGCAGTGGCATCTACAGGAGAGTATGCAGCTTTTAAAGCCCTTCCCCGTGTTTAGTGTACACGCCGTACATACAACATGTTTGGAATCGACAGGGAGTAAAGTTGGACGAACAAATCCACTTGCGAACAGACCTCTGGAACCCTTACTCGTTCGTAAGTAGAGGAGTCTCTGTAATAATAAGTTTACAGCTGTTTGTCCATCCACTGCTGGGTGAAGGTCGTCCCCGCGCCGTCGGGGTAGTCTGACCACACTTCACCGCGGTTGGTTTGTCGGCGGGGAAGAAGCGAGCGGCGGAGGCGTCGCTCGCCCGCCGATGCTAGCCGGGGGCCCGGGACACTCGAACTCGGGAGACCGGTGGTTTCGTGGCGCAGCGCCGATCACCGCCACGGCACAACCGCCGCACGCATCGGCGCGCGGCTCCCTGTGGACGGACTCTCACGAGATGACGACGGGACGAGATGAGAGAGAGGGCGACGACGGATCGAATGATGTGGTGAATGGATGGGATGGCTGCTGCTGCTGCTGCTGCTGCGGCTGCTGCTGCTGCGGCTACGGCGGTGGAGTGCACGCGGAGACATTCTTGACAGCGTCTGTCACCCCCCACCGCCCACCACCGTAGCCTTTGATGCGAGGAGCTCGATATTCGTGTGATGGGTTTGCTGAAGGCCCCCCCCCCCCCTCCCCAACTTCCCCCACTCCCGTGTCGCCCCCCGCCAGCCGCATATTAATTGTGGGGTTTGGAATGTATCGACGGGTGCCGTCCGCTTTCATCGCGAGATTCGGCCGAACGAAATTCTCCCCGTGTCTGTGGTTGGATAATCGTTGGGCGTTGGGGTGGGGGTGGGTGGGGAACAAAGCGGAGTTATTGACGCGTGGCCGTCGGAGCGAGCGTCTCTCTCTCTCTCGCCCGCACGCTTTTCCTGTCGATGAGCGGAGAGCGGCTCCTCTCTCGGCCCCTCTCTCGGCCCCCCTCTCGGCCCCTCTCTCTGCCCCCCTCTCTCGGCCCCCCTCTCGGCCCCCCTCTCAGCCCCCCTCTCTGCCCCCCTCTCTCGGCCCCCCTCTCGGCCCCCCTCTCGGCCCCCCTCTCTGCCCCCCTCTCTCGGCCCCCCTCTCGGCCCCCCTCTCGGCCCCCCTCTCGGCCCCGCTCTCGGCCCCCCTCTCGGCTCCTCTCTTGGCCCCTCTCTCGGCCCCCCTCTCGGCCCCCCTCTCGGCCCCCCTCTCGGCCCCCCTCTCGGCCCCTCTCTCTGCCCCCCTCTCTCGGCCCCCCCTCTCGGCCGCTCTCTCGGCCCCCCTCTCGGCCCCTCTCTCGGCCCCTCTCTCGGCCCCCCTCTCGGCCCCCCTCTCGGCCCCCCTCTCTGCCCCCCTCTCTCGGCCCCCCTCTCGGCCCCCCTCTCGGCCCCCCTCTCTGCCCCCCCATCTCGGCCCCCCTCTCTCGGCCCCCCTCTCGGCCCCCCTCTCTCGGCCCCCCTCTCGGCCGCCCCAATGTGCCGACTCGGGGCCCGTCGAGTGGCGCCGCCTAAGCGCGGACGGGCGAGCTAGCAAAAACTACAAAGCCAAAACCGGTCGCTATTGTAGCCGTCCCCCCTCTGTACGGCGGTGGGGGGCGGGTGGGTCGGTGGGGGAGCGGCGGCGCAGCGGTCGGCGCGGTTGCGCTTCCGGATCGCGACGCGAGTTCAGTTCCTGGACCGGTTTCCCGTTGCCGAGCGACGTCTGATTTTCCGGTAGCCAGCCTCTCCCCGGCGCGCGGCCTTGCCGAAGGCCGCGAGTCGCCCCGGCTGCATCTCGAGCGACGTTTCCGCGTTGGCACCAAGCGCTCTCGCTGCGCGGCCGTTCGTTAAACTCGATTCGTTAGACTCGATTCGTTAAACTCGATTCGTTTAGACTCCGTTCGTTAAACTACAATTCGTTGAGACTGTGTTCGTTAAACTCCATTCATTCAACTCGCTTGGTTAAACTCGACTCGTTGAATGCGATACACTCAACTCGATTGATTAAACTAGTCATTAAACTCCATTACACTCCATTCATTAAACTCTGTTAATTAAACTCGATTAATTAAATTTGATTAATAAAAACTCGATTAAATGAACTGAATTGAAAATTTAAAAAAAAAAATGTGTTGAGCGCCCTTAAACATGAACCAGGACTCATATTCTTGGTTCTTTCGGCAAAGTCACGTAGAAAGAACCATGTCACCGAAAGAACCAAGAATATGAATCCCTGCAGTCACGAAAGCTTTAAATCAAAAAATGAACCAGGACTAAATAGAGAGTGAGAGAGAGAGAAAGGCATTTTAAACGCGTGTGGTTTTCCGTCCACATTTGAAGTCGTGCCAGTGTGTCTCAGAAGTCGTCCCCTGACCTTGAAGGGGTTAACGAGGGCGCTCCAGAGGTACCGAAATTGCAGAAGCCACGTCAACCACCCCGAGTGTGAGGCCTAGAGACCCGCGGGCACAACGCGCAGTTCGTGCTCGCACGATCTTCTTTGACCTTGATGGAATGTATGACCGAAGGAGGTCGCGAACGTAGGGAGGAGCAAATCGACGCAGCTCGATTCATCGAAATTCGATTCTGAAGCTCCGCGGGACGCGCGCACGCGATTCGATTCGTGGTGGCGGTGCTGGAGGTGGCGGCGGGGGCGGCGGTGGCATTGGTGGCACGGAGCCGTCCCCGTCCTGCGGAGTGTCCCACATGCCCTCGTGTCGCCTTTAATCTCCCCTTTTAGCGCCCGTGTCAAAGCGTGTCGGTGGTGGTTGTGGGGGGGCAGGGGTGGGGGGGGGGGGGCGCCCAGCCGCATCAAACCGCCGCCTCCCGACGCCGGGGACGCTTTCAACCCTCGGGAGCCCGCGGCCCCGCTCACGTTCGCCGGACGGAGACGCGTTGCCGAGTTCAGAGACGCGAGGTTTTAATGCGCCCGTCTATCGCCGCGCTGCCTCGGGACATCGATGGCGGGGGGGGGGGGGGGGGGGCACGGCACCGCCACGTCCGCGGCACGCCGCGCGAATGCCGCGGACGTGGCGCGGAGGCCGCGGGGCGCACCATCGTCGCCGGCGGTCGTGCCGGGGGCGGTCTTGGCCTGCGCGTGCTGGGAGGAGGCCGTCACGCGCGGCTCTGTGGACAGCGCGGTGGGCTGACGTTGTTCGCTCGTGCGCGGTGTGCGACGCCGGCAAAGCTTGTCTGTTTATTTTGGACAGCCATATCCGGCGCTCGAGCTGTCCTGAGAGCCGCGTGTGGAAGCATTCGCTCGATGAAAAACAATGACATTTGCGCGGCGATGCCGGCGACCGCGCCACGAAAAGGGCCCCCCCACATGCACCGATTACCACCACCCCCCCCCCCCCCCCCTACGCCGTCTAGAATTCCGGCCCTGGAGAATCGCAGAGCTCGGAGGGACTGTCAAAAAAACGGGGCGTTTTTTTGACTGGCAGAGGCGGTGTGGAAAGTGTCACCCCCATCCCCCCCCCTACTGCGCAGACCAGAGGCCCGCTTGAGGAAGGGATGTCACAGGCAGCCCTGTGATATCCACTTCAGCGGGGCAGGATGAGGCAGACACGAATGAAATAAATGTGAAACGAGGCGGTGGGGAATCGGGCCGGGAAGTGGGGGGGGGGGAAATTAACTGGAGTGAATTGTTACTTGCCTGTCAATCTGTGTCTGCCTGTATCTGTCTGTCAGTGTCTGTCTGTATCTGTCTGTCAGTGTCTGTCTGTATCCGTCTGTCAGTGTCTGTCTGTATCTGTCTGTCAGTGTCTGCCTGTATCTGTCTGTCAGTGTCTGCCTGTATCTGTCTGTTAGTGTCTGCCTGTATCTGTCTGTCAGTGTCTGTCTGTATCTGTCTGTCAGTGTCTGCCTGTATCCGTCTCTCAGTGTCTGCCTGTGTCTGTCTGTCAGTGTCTGCCTGTCTGTCTGCCTGCCATATATCTGTCCGTGTGTGCATCTCTGCGATGGAGGGGGGGGGGGGGGGGGGTGGCGGCTGTCGTGTTACACAACGAGCGTCGGAGTGGGTGGCGGCCCGCGGGTGCCCCGCCGTCGGCTCTGCCGCTCGGCTGCTTGCTGACGGTGGCGACGTCCACGGTGTCGGCGGTGTCGGCGGCGACGGCGGCAGCAGCCACGGTGCTGCTCGCACTGAAATTTTATTCGAGGTGTTGCGACGCTGTCCCCCCCCTCCCCCCCGTCCCGTGACCCCCCGCGCCGACAGGCTGGTGACGGCGCTGCTGCGGGTGGCGCGCAAGCAGTACGACTCGCTGGCGTCGGCCGGCCTGGCGGGCGCCGAGGAGAACGCCGACCTGGAGGAGGTGGTGCGTCTGGTGCGGCGCGAGCGCGCCGTCGTGTGGGCCGACACGGCCGCGGACGGCGACGCGAGCCGCGACGGCGAGGGCGGCGACGCCGGCGACGCCGGCGGCGGCGGCGGCGACGCGCCGTGCGACGGCAGCGTGCGGAGCGCCGTGGAGTTCACCCTGCCGGGGTTGGTCACGCTGTTCGGCGCGGGAGAGGCGGCGGCGGCGGCGCCGGCCGGCCGGGACGCACCACCCGCGGGTGAGCCGGGTGCACGGGAGCGGGGGCTGGGGGGGGTGGGTGTGGTGGTGAGTCGGTGCGTTCGATGGCGCGTGTGTGAGTGGGACGGTGTCGCTGTCGACTGAGTGTCGAGTGAGTGTGTGTGTGTGTTGCGTGAGTCCGGTGTGTGAGATGGTGTGTGAGTGTGTGTGTGTGTTGTATTATTTGCGTTGAGTGAGTGTGTGTCGCTGTCAAGTGAGTGTCGAGTGTGGGTGTGTGTTGCGTGAGTCCGGTGTGTGAGTGTGTGTCGAGTGTGGGTGTGTGTTGCGTGAGTCCGGTGTGTGAGATGGTTTGTGAGTGTGTGTGTGTTGTATTATTTGCGTTGAGTGAGTGTGTGTCGAGTGTGGGTGTGTGTTGCGTGAGTCCAGTGTGTGAGATGGTGTGTGAGTGAGTGTGTGTGTGTGTGTTGAATTATTTGCGTTGAGTGAGTGCGTGTCGCTGTCGAGTGAGTGTCGAGTGTGGGTGTGTGTTGCGTGAGTCCAGTGTGTGAGATGGTGTGTGAGTGAGTGTGTGTGTTGAATTATTTGCGTTGAGTGAGTGCGTGTCGCTGTCGAGTGAGTGTCGAGTGTGGGTGTGTGTTGCGTGAGTCCAGTGTGTGAGATGGTGTGTGAGTGTGTGTGTGTTGAATTATTTGCGTTGAGTGAGTGTGTGTCGCTGTCGAGTGAGTGTCGAGTGTGTGTGTGTGTTGCGTGAGTCCAGTGTGTGAGATGGTGTGTGAGTGAGTGTGTGTGTGTGTGTTGTATTATTTGCGTTGAGTGAGTGTGTGTCGCTGTCGAGTGAGTGTCGAGTGTGTGTGTTGCGTGAGTCCAGTGTGTGAGATGGTGTGTGAGTGAGTGTGTGTGTGTTGTGTTATTTGCGTTGAGTGAGTGTGTGTCGAGTGTGGGTGTGTGTTGCGTGAGTCCAGTGTGTGAGATGGTGTGTGAGTGAGTGTGTGTGTGTGTTGTATTATTTGCGTTGAGTGAGTGTGTGTCGCTGTCGAGTGAGTGTCGAGTGTGGGTGTGTGTTGCGTGAGTCCAGTGTGTGAGATGGTGTGTGAGTGTGTGTGTGTGTTGAATTATTTGCGTTGAGTGAGTGCGTGTCGCTGTCGAGTGAGTGTCGAGTGTGTGTGTGTGTTGCGTGAGTCCAGTGTGTGAGATGGTGTGTGAGTGAGTGTGTGTTGTATTATTTGCGTTGAGTGAGTGTGTGTCGAGTGTGGGTGTGTGTTGCGTGAGTCCAGTGTGTGAGATGGTGTGTGAGTGAGTGTGTGTGTGTTGTATTATTTGCGTTGAGTGAGTGTGTGTCGAGTGTGGGTGTGTGTTGCGTGAGTCCAGTGTGTGAGATGGTATGTGAGTGAGTGTGTGTGTTGTATTATTTGCGTTGAGTGAGTGCGTGTCGCTGTCGAGTGAGTGTCGAGTGTGGGTGTGTGTTGCGTGAGTCCAGTGTGTGAAATGGTGTGTGAGTGAGTGTTGAATTATAATAAAGAATTAAAGCTTTCGTGACTGCATAAATTACTCATTGTTTGTTTCAGTATATATATTTAATATAATGTTATGGTATTCCTACATACGTGACTTTACCGAAAAAAACAATGAGTGTTGAATTATAATATTTGTGTTGAGTGTGGTGTGTGCGTTGCGAGGAGCGGTAGTGTAGTGGTTAGCAGCGCGCTGTGCCATAAACCCAGCGACCCGAGTTCGTTTCCCCGTGGGGGTCAAGGCGGTGGTGGCGGCGGTGGTGGCGGTCGTGTTGTTGCTAAGCGTGTGGTTTTGCGGGAATCGTAAACGATCGATTCTCGCCAACTGCGAAGCGGCGAGGCCGAACGCGGAAACCCGGGGATACATTCCTCCTCACGGCCAACACCAGTGAACCGGTCCTGGGTCTCCCCTAGGTCGACTCAGCCTCCAACATGAGCACCTGGTGCGGTGTGCAAACTTCGCCACTGGGGAGACAAAGGCGGCCAGGGCGTGGTGCTGGCCACCCACCCCCCTCGCGTGCCGTTCCGGCCTTCATAGGTTGCTGCTCGCTAACAGCCCCAACAGTCTGGTCAGGGCTATACGGGGGGATCTTTGTGGCGTGCGTCTGTGTGTTGCGTGAGTGTGTTGAGGCGAGTGTCTGGGGTATCGGCAGCAGCAGCAGCGTGCGCGCGTGAATGAGCGTGTGCTGTTGTGCCACATCCCTTAAGTGAGCAGCTTCCGCGTGTGGGTGTCTTAAGCCTCCGTCTGCCCCGAAGCCACTGATCCGTCATCCTCCTCCCCTGCCGCTCCCCGTGGTGGCGGGGGGTGGGGGGTAGGGGGTGGGGGGGGGAGGCCCCCCAACCTCGGCTCGTGAACCTCCGCCCCTCTCGTGCTGCGCGACCTGGCGCCCGCCACTCCTGCACTCCCTCGCCGCTCTCGGCTGCCGCTTGCGGTAGCCAGGTCGGTCGCTTTGGAGCGATAAGTTGATGACCTCGGTGGGGCTTTTGTCTCGCCGGATTGGGGATGATATTCTTGGTTCTTTCGGTAAAGTCACCACCACGTAGAAGGGAAACAATAAAATAATAATAAAAAATATGAAACAATCAAATTCTCACGACGTTTCGACTGCAACACAAGCAATCACCATCAGGTGTGAAAACCACAGCAAGAAAATTTGAAAAAAGTGGCGGGTTTTTTGAACGTGATGATTGCTTGTGTTGCAGTCGAAACGTCGTGAGAATTGTATCGTTTTATATTTTTATTATCTTATTGTTTCCCTTCTACGTGAGTTTGCCGAAAGAACCAAGAATATGAATCCCTGCAGTCACGAAAGCTTTAAATCAAAATTTAGTAAGGGGTTGTCACATGGCCAATTCGTCACTAGTACAGCCACACCGGTTGTGTGTTGGAGAGCCAAACCACAACATTTATATATTTACGTGATCTAACCGAAAAAAAACCTCTTAAGGATGATATTGATCACGAAAGGCTACGTGTTAAACAGATTTAATAATGGTCACTTATCGAGGGTGGGCGAAAGAAACATCGAACCTCAAGACTAAACATTTTTTTTTGTTTCCCTTCTACGTGGTGGTGACTTTACCGAAAGAACCAAGAATATGAATCCCTGCAGTCACGAAAGCTTTAAATCAGGATTGGGGACATTTTAGTTTTATTTGTACGTGTGTGTGTGTGTGTTGGGGGGGTGATCTGTTTACCTCCTGTCTTGTACTTGGCACGCCTATCGGGGTTTGGTACTGTTGTGTTGGGGGGGGCCTGCTTGTGGCCGGCTTGTGGCCCGCTCCGCCACGGTGGGTGGGGGGGTGGGGGGGGGGTGTCCGCCTGTCGACTTATTTACCGACGCGAGCGCGGGGCGCATCGCCGTGGCGATTGAAACTAAGCCCGCCAGCCTCCCGCCACGCGGCCTCCCCGCTCCCCTCTCGCGCTCGCCTCTCTCCGCAGCCCGAGTAGCCCGTGGCGTCCGCGCCCGGCGCAGCCCCGAGGTCTCCAGCCGCTCGCTCGCTTTCTCTCACCCCCTGCGCCTCTCTCGCTCCTTCTGGATGGAGGACGGGGGCGGTGGGAGCAGGGAGCGCCTCTTGTTTGTTGACACAACTCAACGCGAGCGCCGGTCAAATTAGTCTCGACTCCCTTTCCTGCTCCTCTCCCTTTCTGCCGTCGCTGGTGAAGGGATGGGGGTAGGGAGGGGAGAGGGTGGCGGGTGGCCGAGAGTGGGGGGGGGGGGGGCGGTGGTGGTGTGGCGGATCTCGGTGAACTCGGGCGGAGGTGTTGCGGAGAGGGAAGGGAGAGACGCGAAGATTCCACGGATGCCTCCGCGTGGTGGCCGGAGGTTGGGTCGGGTGGAATTCGGAGCTCCCAGGGGGCCTTGGGGGTGAGACCCAGCGAAACCGACACGGGCGCTGCGAGCCGCCCCCCCCCCCCGTCCCCCTACAGCCAACAGCAGGGTCCCCACAGGGACAGCTGTGCATAGAAGTTGCTGTGCACGGGGACAGCTGTGCACAGGGACAGCTGTTGCACAGGGACAGCTGTTGCACAGGGACAGCTGTGCACGGGGGCAGCTGTGCACAGGGGCAGCTGTGCACAGGGGCAGCTGTGAACAGGGGCAGCTGTGCACAGGGGCAGCTGTGAACAGGGGCAGCTGTGCACAGGAGCAGCTGTGCACGGGGGCAGCTGTGCACAGGAGCAGCTGCTGCACAGCTGTAGCTGTGCACAGGGACAGCTGTTGCATAGCTGTGTACAGGGACAGCTGTTGCATAGACGTAGCTGTGCACAGGGACAGCTGTTGCGTAGACGTAGCTGTGCACATGGACAGCTGTTGCACAGACGTAGCTGTGCACAGGGACAGCTGTTGCGTAGACGTAGCTGTGCACAGGGACAGCTGTTGCGTAGACGTAGCTGTGCACATGGACAGCTGTTGCACAGACGTAGCTGTGCACAGTGACAGCTGTTGCATAGACGTAGCTGTGCACAGCGACAGCTGTTGCATGGACGTAGCTGTGCACAGCGACAGCTGTTGCGTAGCTGTAGCTGTGCACATGGACAGCTGTTGCGTAGACGTAGCTGTGCACAGGGACAGCTGTTGCACAGACGTAGCTGTGCACAGTGACAGCTGTTGCATAGACGTAGCTGTGCACAGGGACAGCTGTTGCACAGCCGTAGCTGTGCACAGGGACAGCTGTTGCATAGACGTAGCTGTGCACAGGAACAGCTGTTGCATAGACGTCGCTGTGCACATGGACAGCTGTTGCGTAGTGCGATCGTGCCGTTTGGTAGCGGCAGGTGCAGTTTTGTCGCTAGACGCGTGGGTTGCTTGAACGTGCGGTGATTGACAGTCGCTGTCTGCTTGTGGGCCGCTGGCCCCGCGGGGTTCACCGTCGCCGCGGCGGGTCTCTGTTCACTCCTCCCGCCCCCTCTCCTCCCCGCCCCCTCTCCGCCCCCCCAGCAACTTGACGCGTCGTAGCGATTTTGACAACTCGATCGAAGAAAGAAAGCGGAGGGAAAAAAACGACGTATTCATTTGGCCTTTCGTCGCCTGCTCCCGTGTTTGGCGTCGGTGCCGTTTGGTTTGCCCCCTGGGGGTCGAGGC